AAAAAAAAAAAAAAAAAAAAAAGATGGCCTACAAAAATATTGGGCCGTTTGGCGAGACCTCCACCCCCAAAATAACGAGGTTATAAATGTGAAAGGGCCAATATTTTTGTAGGCTACCCTTTTTATCGATGGTTATTCATGGGTTTTTAGTACCTAATTAAATAGACAAAGTTTGCCCATCTCCAGATTGAAAAAGCCCTAATTACGAGAATTTTTGCAAATAAAATATTTGTAGGTTAATAATTTCAGATTTATTTTATTGACTGTACATAGAGTGTGAATGTGATCTGTGAACTCTATTATAAATGTCCTTGAGACAGATTGTAATATTTTTCAATAAATAAGTTTATAAAAAAATAAATAATTCCAGAAAAAGTGTTCTTTGCAACGGCCTCTATACCGTTACCTTTCGGACCTGTAGATAGTAATTCCATATTTTTTATTTTTTTTACATACACTATATGTCCACTAAAAATTTGATTCAGTTCTAAAGGAGTCAACAACATTTTTCTTAAGCTCACCAGAAGCAAATTTTAATGATATATAGACCGTGGTACAGATCCCTTGTTATCAAATTATTAACATCTACCTGAAACTTCGTGAACAGCTTTATACATCCTACAAATATTCTATTTGTGAAAATGTTTGGGGCGTTTTCAATCTGGAGACCGACAAACTTTGTCTAATTAATTAGATACTAAAAACTCATAAATACCCATTTGCTTTTCACTGAAATCGTAAGAGATATCATCACAAAATCGAAAAAAAAAATTGTGGCCTACAAAAATATTTGTCTGTTGGATTATACCTATCTACCAATCTGGTTATTTTTACTATAATTTATTAGAAATACTGTAGGAGGAATAAACTATCAATTTTCCTTGAATAAAGAAAGAACCTGTACATCACTTAATTTAATTCGTTTTCTACACTTCTTAAAGACAGTTGAGAAAAAAATACTCTGTTTTTTTAATAAAATTTCTAATGGAAATATTAATTTTATTATTATTATTTTTTTTAAAGTAAATTATGGGAATAAAAAAAGAAATTAGTAGAACTACGAATTTCAATTTGGTAAGCAAATTCCCTGATCAAAAAGTATTAGGTTGTTTATTTTGTTTTCAGAAAAAAAAAAAAATAAATAAACTTCAAAAAAGGATTATATATAATAGAATACTCTAAGCGCTAATTGAATATTCTGGACACTAATATATTTAATTCAGTTGATGGTATAAATGTTAAAATGATACTAACATTAGAAATGAATAACATATTCTCCTGAGCTACCATTTTCATTATCCCATGTTTCGTGTTCATTGATACCTACCTCCGTTATAGCTATTGTCTCCGCTAATGTCTAGTGCACCTGATCCAAATTCAAAATAATTATTTTTAAAACAACTCAGCAAATTTTTCACTTTTGACAGTGTAAATATTAATTTGCATCTGTTGTTATATTCATGTAATTAGTATGTTACAATTCGTTGATTAGTTTGCCTAAATAAACTAACAGTTGTTTTAGTCTTATGAATGCTATTGGCAAACAATATTGGCATCCCGGCCTCAGCCATACAGTGTACAGTGTCCCCGAACAATGACGTCATCTCCTAAAAAAATTTAGTTTATTTCTTAAGCTGTTTCATATTACGTTATATTTGAATTGTATTTATTACAATATATCTCTGATATACATGATTTATTACTAGAATAAATTGATTTATCCCGTACGCTATGTAATTTTATTTTCCTGATTGGTATGGGCCCCGGGTTGCCCTGCCTTAAGGCCGACAGTTTGCACATCAGCCTCAACACTATATCTGAATGTAAAGTATAACCAATGAAAATTATATATTTTTTATTATAAACAGGTATGAAATTAAATTTCGATTTTTCCATAAATATAATTATACCGAAATGATATAATATCAAGTTTTTCGAAATTCAATCACGAAATTAAAACTTACAATTAATTTCCTCAACACAGGAAATATGAAATAAATATATATATGTTATATTAATCTTTACATAATGTGCCTAATCCTATAAATATTCATTAGTGAAAAACTAAATATATTTTCTTATTTAATTTCTCACTTTGTCCCCGGGTCAAATTAAAAAAAACAATAGTGTTTATATATTTTTTAAAATTATTTTGGGAATCCTTCCTATTCATCTTCAGCACATAAAATAAAATAACGCATTAACAAATCTCCTGAACTTCTTACAATATTTTTTATAGCTTCGCTATATCAAGACAGTCACTTATATTTTAGCTAAGCTCCCTGTCAGATGCTTATTTGTATAACCAACACTAATAACTTCTTTTTTAGCTTGGACACACAGAACACGATATATCAAGGCGATCTTATTACATTACCAACCATCGCATTAATATTAGTTCCACAGAACCTATTTTATATTTTATATAAAATAAAAAATAGTCATTTATAAACAAATACTGGAGAAAATGATGGGGAACGACAGAGCAATAAAAAATTAAAACTGATTTATTTTCATTTAATGCCTTCGTAGCAATATCATCACTTTGTACAGGAAAAATCAATACAAAAAAATTGTTTGGCAATTTAAGTAGAGAGAATATAGACTGAATAATTTTGGTTTTGTAACTATTTGGCATTTAAATGAAAATTATATTTTAAAAAAATGACCTGTATTAGAACAGTTAAGACCATCTGTGATCAGCATATTTATTTTGTCTCACTAATCAAAATTAAAATCACTTTAACTTTCAAGTCAACAAAAAAACATTTAAATATAGCCAGGTTTGTAGCTGTTAAATTAATTTTGAGGCTATTCTTTCTTCACCCTCCCTCTTTCATCCTAGCACCCCCCTAAAAAAAAAACAATAGTTTTATAGAGGTACTTTCGGTAATACTTCTTGAAATAAGTATCGTCATCTCTTAGCATAAACTCACTTAAATGACTAAATTTAGGTCGAAACTATAAAAACGCATAAACAAATGATTCCTTGAAATCAAATTAAAAATTATATTTTTCTCATTCCCTTTCTCCCTCTCCCCTAATGTTACACCTCTGAATTTATAAATATATAGTGATGACGTTTATATTTAAAGTTAAGATGCCTGATATTCATGTACAGCTAAATATACAACAACCAACAGAGCTCGTACGTCGAAGTTTCTATATAAATATACTAGAATACCTAACATTTCGTTTAAAAAACTATTTCACTGTAATTTTTTGAGAAAAACGAGTAGTGAGTGCTTGCTGCTAAAAATATTTCAATTAGCGTTAAATGACAAAGAAAACATATGGTAATAACCTTAATAATTTATTACTAAAATAATCATAAAGCTAGAATAGAGACACGTTAAAAATGGAAAATCCAGACTATAAAGCTATGAGTCTCCAACGTACATGTGAATAGTTAAACTTGCCAACGATTTGTCACTTCAGGCATCATCATGGAAGAAAAACCAAGATAACTTATATGCAAGATAAAAAAAGAAAAAGAACAACAAATATATATGTGTATATATATATATATATATATATATATATATATATATATATATATATATATATATATATACAAGTTATTGGTATAGACATCTCACGAAGCCTTCCAAATACATACTGAAGGAATAAGAAGGTTCGTAGCCAAGGAAGGTTATATTGAACAGCTGATTAGGATAAATACAAGAAGGAAAAAATAATTATGCATAACTAAAATATAATAATACAAAACAAATCATACTCATGCCACGTTCAATTGATGGAAAACTAGACTCAATTACAAATATAAAGGACTACTAACTATTGTTTTCAAAATTTCGTTATGATTCCATCTTATATTCCTACATCAGCAGAATACAACTTATCCTGCATCCAATAAACATAAACACTGCTCATTGACAGATTAACAGAATTCTGCGATCAAAACTATTAGAGAAAGTGACACCTCCCATCCCCATTGTAACTTGCATGCTCAGAAGATTCTGCAAATAGTACAAGAAAGGGTGAAGAAATTGGAATTTACGCTTAAGCTTTTCTCTTATCTCAGCTCGTGGGGAAGTTAGCCACAAACCTTGAGATAAAATCCAAAAGAGTTCTTCTCGCTTTGAAATCGAAAAAAAAAAAAGACCAAACCGCAGAAAGTTATTCCATCTCTTTAACAAATCAAGTTGATATGCTTAAGGAATTGCTTGAAGAGGTGAGTTTAGAAGGAGTAAAACTTGCTTTATAGATATGTACCGGCCCACTCTTGGTTATCGAATAATAAAAGCGGCCACTTAGCCAAAGAAGTGCCAGAATAGATCAGCCAGATAAGGCAATACCTTTCGTGACGCCAGACAAGTTAATCATATCAATTATCATTAGAGGGGGAATGGTTGGAGCAAGGATGGCAGTAAAAGATGTATAGTTAATAAAGCAGAGTTGAACGAGAAACGAGAACTTTGTCACGAAAAGATACGAGTGTCAGAAATTCTTTTAAGAAATGAGACTGTTGTACAGCTTTCAAAAGAAGACTTTGTATGACTACCTCCAACCGAATCAACAAAATGCCAACTGTGTTGACAACAGTCCTGCATCTATTGACCTGTTTTGAATCAAGGGATGTTAGAACCGCAGAAAATAAGAAGTGTAGGTGAATTATTTTGGACTGCACATAGTGTTACTATCTAAGTAGTATTTCATGATTCTTTTTTTCCAAACACCAGAAGTAAAGACAAATACTTCTCAGGATTATAGTTTCAAGTATAACAAAGGGAAAAAAAGCCTACGGTTGATCGTGTTTTGTGTAGCAGAGAGATGGTCAATGCCATGGATTTGCCTATATTTGAAATTCTCACTGGAATCCATACTAAGACTGTACGGTAATTAATCTATTACTAAGATCATTTTGAAGTCATAAATTTGCTCCAACCGAGATTCAGGTCCCACTTAACTTTTAGCTTATTACCTTACAACTTTTAAACTTTAGAAAGTAATTTTTAAAAATTATGGTTTGCTGTTACCTGCTACAAGTAGAAGCGATAAGACTACACTGAGCGAACGCATTGCGGCGGTGTGGTGATACAGCGGCGGAGGGGAGTCTTGGCGAAGGACGGACTCTAGCGTCGGCTTTATACAGTGCTATGTTTACTGAGGATGGGGGGGATTAGTGATAGTGTATCATCGAAACACACATAAATAACACCGGGACTTTTGGATAAATAAAAAATCGATAATGGATAAATAACAGCTAATTACATACTCTACTTTGACGTATGGAAATGAAATACACTAATATTAATCGCTGAGATAATAATGTTGCGAAAACATTGGTTAATGAACTACTCATGTTAAGTATTGGATATTAAGTTCTTCAGATTCGGACAACCAATGCAGTATCCATCAGCTTAGAGGAAATGAGAAAATCATAAGGCTATCATCTAGGGTGATTTATAAAATGATTTCTTAAGATTCACTAATAAATGATTTCTGAAAATGTCGCTATGCTGTTACCAAATTTATACTGATATGATATTTTTAACTTTTTAAACATAAATAATGTCTGGTTAACCTTAAAATGGTTGTGTCGAGTGTAAGAAACCCGCACTCTTTTCACGTGAGCTTGCTTTCTATGAATCTCATTCGATCTTCTTTCCATTCTAAATACACTTCTGTATATACGTTTTTGTTTCAAGTTATTTCCGAGGTCGGGTTCGGTTTAGATTTGGAAATAGAAAGACGAAAAAATGATTGGGGTATCTTATACCCCACTGTACGGTTATCGTTTGAGTGATACGTGATTCTGTGCCTTGTCTCATATCGTGTTATTTATACTTTTTCCAATTCAATCGTGTTGAGGTGGTAAATCAACAGAAATAAACGAAACCTGAGAAAATCTGAAACATTATAGCCGAGTTGGATTAAGAAGAGCATGTCCAGTGGAGAAGCGAGTGTATCAGAAAATGAGAGAAAAAATCAGAATCTTTCGGATTCGGAATAAAAGGCAGATTAAGTGTAACGAAAAAAAGTAGTTTAGGAAATTCCAGAGGAGCATATTGGTACTGGACAACAGGGTGTGTTCCAAGGTGATAGACAAGAGCTTCCATATTCATGGCTTGAGGTAAGGAAATCTCGAATTATAACTGGAAGAGATGGGTATAAGTACGAAAAAAACGTTTATTCAACAAGGAACCGCATGGAATTGAATATCCTTTCTGACTGCATATGCATAGTATTGCCCAAAATCGGTCTTGGTCTTGCACTTTGCAAGAACAAGACCGCCTGACTGACGCAAGACCAAGACCAAGGCTGATAAAAAAAAATCGTATTTTTGAATCAACATTTAGTCAAACTATTTACTAATACTCGACAATTTATTTACTATGTGCAAAGAATTGGTATAACCCATAAACTCTTGCATTTAACTCTTCCAATTTTTCATTTAGGCTTAGTTAGGTTTTTCCTATCTGCAAAATGACTGCAATATCTCTATAGTAAAACGCTAATAGATAACTGCAAGACTAATGCGAGACTCTTGCGCAAGACCGAGACCAAGACCTAGACTAAGAGTGCAAGAAAAACTAAAAGAGAACTAAGGCCCACAAGGAGAAACCAAAAAAAAAATTATGATACCGAATGCTTTCGTAAATTTCGTTTTTGTCATTATAGTTCCGATCATCTAGTTTTGGATACTTGAGAACATAAGAGCGTTATGTTCTTTAGAATACTTCTTCAGATTTTTTGTGTCAAATAAACTTGTTATAGTGATGGCTTTGGTTTATGTTAGCAATTCTATGATTCTAAAGCATTATTAAAAACTAAATACATAATTTAAAATTGTTTTAATTTTTTTTACAAAGTTTTGTATAACTGAGGTGACAACACCCTCTCTGCCCAAAGCATGTAAAATGTCGGTACCATTCGATGGTTAACCCTTTTTAGGTAATATAGTCAATTTAACAATAATATATAGTGTGTGCTGATTCGAATGCCGGATAATTCTTTGATAACATGATTTCTAACCACCTCCAACACCCTCCATCCCGTTCGTTCCCTTTATCCCCCCGTTTTTTAAAAATTTATCCTCAACCCGCCCTATCCTGAAAACAAACGACCACCTCATTATTACTAGGGCTGACAAGGGAAATTCGACCGTTATCAAAACCTTATTCACCGATCCCTCTCTTTATCCGATCCACAATACCACCAAGCCAACACTCAGCTTGTCAAAAATATACTCCTTTCCAATAATTTTCCTCTCAACATTATACTTAAACATTTAAACTGCTATTCAAACAAAAAGAGTACAACCTCCCCTTTTCCCAACACCTCACAATCACCTACCACTCCTTTCATATACAAATCTCTCTCCTATATTTCTATTCTCTCAGACAATATACACAAATTCCTTAAATCGACTGTAACCAACTTACGTCTTGGCCTTAAGTCCCATAACAAACTTTCTTTCCTTTTCATCAACTTGATGGATCCCATACTTTTACAACATGTAGTTTACCGGATACCTGGCTCTACTCCTAATTGTAATAATGTAATGGCTAATATTGAGACATGGTTAAAATGTAAAATGGATACAAAGTGAAAATGGATGATCATACATTGATGTAGAATGTAAATATAAAACTAAAATAAAAGAGAGATCATACAAAGCGGAAATACTTAGAATAATAAACAATTAAATTGAATTAATCAATAAAAACTGAAAGTAGATAAAAATAAAAATAATAGGATATAATAATATGTAAGTTATTTTCCACTTATATGATTTAAAATGTGTAGGCCTAATGTAATGTAATGTAATGTAGGCCTAATGTAATGTAGGCCTAATGTAATGGCTCTACTCCTATATTGGTTAAACCAAAAACCATCTCAAAACCCGTATTTCCAAACATAAAACATCTATAACTTCCCGGAATCCTCCCGCCTCCAAACAATCAGAACATGCCTTAACCTTCAACCATTCATTTGATTTTGAAAAAACCTTTATTCTTGCCACGGTCCCTAACTACGAAAAAAGACTCATTACCAAATCCATCCACATTCATATGGAACAGAATCCTGTTAATCATAAAGTAGATAAAAACTGTATTTCTTTAACATATAAACACATTTTAAATCATATAAGTGGAAAATAACTTACATATTATTATATCCTATTATTTTTATTTTTATCTACTTTCAGTTTTTATTGATTAATTCAATTTAATTGTTTATTATTCTAAGTATTTCCGCTTTGTATGATCTCTCTTTTATTTTAGTTTTATATTTACATTCTACATCAATGTATGATCATCCATTTTCACTTTGTATCCATTTTACATTTTAACCATGTCTCAATATTATTCAATATTTAAATGTAATTTTCTAACATATGTATAACCAAATATAATTATAATTATTCATATTTTTTCCTCTTTATACTTCTAAGTTAGTTCTGCAATGTATGGTCTCTTATTTCTATATTTATATTTTACTTCTATGTATATTTTACGTCTTCCATTTTTGTTTTTACTCACATTTTAGTCTTATCTGTAATCTTTTAATTCTATTTTATATGTATATGTATATATTTATAATTTAATATTTCATAGATATAGTATTTTTTCTCTTGTATCCATCTATATCTTCAAATTTTAGATACTGCAATTTTCTGTTCTGATGTTTTTCTCCATTACCCAAACAAGTCAGCAAATTCCCCAATACCTGTCCTTATCCTTGTTTTCCAGTTCTAAGTGAAACTCCTATCTGAACACACCTGTAAGTCTCTAATTTTATTTACTTTTTGATTATTTTTTTGGTTTTCTTTTTTCTTTTCTTTCTCCACATTCCTTTGTGTCTATTATTTAATATTATATGCTTTTTCCTTTTCTTTCAATCTCTCTTGGAGATCTGTAAAAGTATATTCACGTTTGCATATATTATGTATTACACTACAACAATTGTTACCACCTATTTACTTCAGTTCAGGATCTTGTTACTTAGCTTACTTTGTTTATATTTTAATGTACTTATTGTTTATAATTTTAATAAGCTTATTCACATTGATTATAATTTTTTGTCAAAATATTATGTAACTTCCACAATTCTCTATCTTTTTGAAATTTGTCCGTTCTAGCCCTGAAGAAGACCTACATAGACGGGTCGAAACGTTGGCTTTTAATAAAATAGTTTTACCACTACTTAGCCTATTTATGACCGCCACCCCGGACCATATCCTTCCTTTATAATGCAACGGTCAACTATTTGATATTCAATAAAGTTCAATTACTTTGTTTCTATAAAACTTGTCTTATCGTTCTTCGTTCTACGTAAGGAGTCACTTCTTGCATCCTTAAAGAATAGATAAGCATTTAATGGCATTCTAATTTATAGCCAAAGGAATTCTGAACGAATGAGAGATGAATTCCACCCCAAATGCTAAACTTCCTTCAGCTGTTTCTTTATTTGCTTCATTAGTTGGTTTAAACATTCCTAAAATTTGAACTTCCTGTTTGAACTATTTAACTACAGTTCGGGTACTGTCCGCTTATTTTTCAGCGTTCTTGTATTAACTGACGTCAATATTTGTCTTTAATGGAATATTGTGATCCCTAGTACTTTTGCAGAAGAAAAAATTGGTGCGGTGCGCGCATCACACAACTTTCACTTACCAACCTTAGAGTACATAGGTATTCTCATATGTAGTCAAAATGAAAACAACTGTAAAACTTCATTTAAAACAATTAATTATCATGTTTTCCCCGCCCATCGAATCGGTTAAATTTATACGTTTCTATCTCTTTTACTTTTATGACTATGTATTGTATCAAACAATAGTAATAATTGTAAAAGACAATAGAACTTTTGGAAAAAATCTGTTTTATCAGAAATAATTATCACGAATTTCGTCAAAAAAATAACCTAATGATAGTAAATATTGTATATTAGGTTCATATTATTATATCATCAACATTTCGCGTGAAAAACTTTTTAAAAAAATCTGGTACGGTACGCGCATCACACAACTTTCACTTTCACACAACCTCTTCTTGGCAGAATAAGTATTTTTAGACAATGGGGAGCGAAAGGAAAAATTATAGACGGTATGAAACATTATTTAAAACAATTACCTACCATTTGCTTTTCATGTATTATATTTAATGTGAGAGATTAACTTACACTT